ATCCCTGCCATCTCTGCAAAATGGAAGGTTCCTGCACGACCAAGTCGTTCTTTCACCGCCACCCCGCCGGGACCTCGACTTCAGAGAAACTCGAGGTTTACGGGTTTAGGGGTTCAGGGTTTGAGGTTCAGGATTTAGGGGTTACGGGGTTCAGGGTTTAGGGGTTCAGGATTTAGGGTTTAGGGTTGCAGAGTTGCATGAGTAATTACGAAAACGATATTCGGGCTCCTTATGACAACTATGGAATTATAGACCCCCTAACCCTATTGGAGGGTGTATGTCTGCGAGCTGGACCAGCCGCCCCCCAGTACTGACATAGAAGGATTCTTCGAGGCGGTGAGGTCTACCTAGACCCCCAAAAGTAAGTAAGATAATGGCCCAAATCCTATAAATGGCTTGTATTCTACATAATTCTGGGGTCCAGGTAGTGTTGATGCCTGCATTCAGCGGGTTGAATTCTGCGAGGACCTTTCATCTGGATTTCGTTGATTGATACTGCGCCATGCTTTCGATAGCTATCGCTTACTTCCAGCAGCACTCGTATGGCTCGTCACCAACATTACGAGTAGTCAAGTAGTCCTAGTAGGATGTAGTAGGCTTCGTCGTCATAGTCAGTGGAGTGAGGAGGGGCAGCAGAAGCAGTAAGTAGTAGGAGCAGTCGAGGTTGGTGCCGCAGCGGTCGCTACAGCGGCAGAAGGTTTGAGGTTTAGGGTTTAGGGCATCAGAACTGGCCGTGTTGTGAACGATGTGACTGTCATTGTGTTTCTGCTGGGGTCGTCGCAGTGGAAAAGGTTATTTGTTGCGTCGTTTAAGCATGTGGAGCCGCCAGAAGCCTTTTCCGGATGATCCTGATGACTCCCCTACTTCCATCATGAGAGCTATGATTTGACTTGCCAGTTTTTGCAGACCAAAGCATGGCTGGAAGCACTGGGAGAGTGTTTGGGATAACCACTACTCGTGTTTTTCACCTGATTACCAATCGTCGTCATGCCAAGCACACTGTCATCCGCCTTACAGCATCATCATGGGTGTTTACTATGGGGTTGTTTCGAAGTTGGCGATGTGGCCAAGCAATCACCAGATGAAATTGTTAACACTAAAACCCTAATTACACCCTAAACCCACCCTGAAACCCTAAACCCTTACCCCCAAAATCCGAAGCTCAACACTTCACGAGGTGGGCTTGGGCTTAAGAAGGACCTGCCACATACCAAGTCCACGATGAGCCGCGGGCCGAGAGACTACAGGAAATCGGGGTTTTCGGGTTTAGGGTTTAGGGGTTTGGGTTTAGGGTTTAGGGTCCAGGATTTAGGGTTTAGGGTCTGCTGGGGTTTAGGGTTTGGGGTTTTGGGTGTAGGGTTTAGGGTTGCGGTGAGAAGAGTTCTGCATGGTGTACACGAGGAAAGACTTGCTTATCAAGGTTTGGAGTCTTCTCTAAGGCACTAAGCCCCCCAAAACCCGAAGCCCTTCATTGCACGGGGTCGAAGAGCCTCCCATGGTTTGTGTAAGAGGCATGTTTCTAGGCATTTCTAGCCCCAGACCCTGAAACAAACCCCCAGCCGCAAGAGACGCAACGCCCGTCATCCCCAAAACCGCACACCTCTCGGACCCGACGCCTCAAAACCTTCAAACCCAAACCCTAAACCGTGGGCCAGAGGCCCTAATTTCGGGTTTCGTGTTTACTGTTGTCTACAGCTTTAAGCCAACTTCCCACGACACCGACCAAAATCTGCTTACACTTCTAGCAATATAATTATCTGTCGTGCCGACGCAGGTCCCATGACAAATCTTCGCGACATGCTACAAAGCCTAATGAAATAGAAACTTTGCGAACTCGTACAAAACCTACAGCCTGAAATCCGCACTTGAACTCCCCAAGTCCTGAACTTATTCGTGCACTTTTGGCGGGCTGCGAATGCGCAGGCTTCGACATGTAGGATTTACGGTTTAGGACCCAAAGAGGCACATTGAAAGCACGTGCCCAACATGCAGCTGCCCACACATGTGCCTGTTTGTTGCTTCGTTTGTGAGTGCTTAAGGCCCCGAAACCGGGTGTGGTAGTGTAACATTGGGGCAGCACTTGTTTGTAGTGTCTAGCGGCTGGGTCACAGTAGCAACCCTTAACCTGTAGAGCGGGTTACGTGTCCTTGAACCCTACAGGAAGCCCTTGGAGAATCCAGAAGATAGAGCTTGAATCTATAATTCCTTAAGGGTCCATGTACCCTTATGGTATATACCTGGGTCCTAAACTACTTGAACGCCGGATTACTTCAAGACGAAAGTATATACTCGACCTATAGTCTCCATTGTAGTTCCTTTTTTTGTCTAACCAATCATATATTAAGGATCCCATAGGGTAACCCCAAAAAAGAACTACAATGTAGACTATAGGTAGGAATCTATGGATCCTGAGGGGTTGAGCCGCTGGTTATGGCCGAAAATTTCAACCGGAACCTTGCCTCCCCTAAGCCCTCAACCGTCAACCGTGAACCCTAAACTCCAACCGAAACCTAACCCCAAAGGCTTAATCTTTGCCATCTTCATCTGCGTGATTCTGCATGCACGAAGCTCAGATTGGGTGCGTCGGTTTTCGGGCTCTAGGGGTTTAGAGTCTATGGGTTTAGGGGTTCAGTGGCTTAGGGGGTTTAGGGTTTAGGCGTTTAGGGTCTGTAGAATTTGGGTTGTGTTTTATGGCAGCCGAGGTATCGGAAACTACTGGGCATCAGACTAAGGCCTCGAGGATTCAGGCTTTACGGTTGGGTCAAGGGTTGAGGGGTTTGGGGTTTAGGGTTTAGGGGTTTAGGCTTTAGCATTTAGGGTTTAGGCATTAGGGCTTTCCTGGTTCAAGCTTTATGGCGTCGCGATGTCCCGATGTCCAGCAAGCCTTACGCAAGATCTTAGCCCTGAGCATAAACAGTATTCAGTATCGAAGATGTAGGACATCAATTCCGGGTCATTACCTACTGTGCTCTCGTTGCTCTTACTAAGGGGTATTTAGAAATATTTTTTAATTTTTGGTTGTTAATTATAATCCCTAAGAAACAACTAAAATTATAATGTTTGCTAGGGTTGTAGGTTCAGTATAGCTTAATGGTGAGCCATGGCAGGTCTTGCTCTTCAAGCTTCCGCAATCAGATCATCGCCGCCTTTTTGCCGTGCGTACCATGGGTGGTCATGTCCGGCCCCCAGCTTCGATAAGTGAGGGTTTAGGGGGCTGTAAGGGCTCCTATAAGGGATCTAGAAGGGTACTATAAGGGTTTGAGGGTTTAGGGGTTTAGGGGTTGGGCTTTGGGGTTTAGGGTTTTCCGTGCTCAGAATCATCCAATCGCTTAGCCTGCAAGAACTGCGATGATTGTTGTGCCGGAGCCCTAGAAGCTGGAATCTTGAAGCGCTACATTATTTCGCCCTATTGTTGATTATATAAGTCCTGCATTACCTTAAGGACCCTAAACTATGGGAATTATGGTATATTCCTTATTATGGGTAGTGCAGGATTTACATGATCAACCGTAGGTCCTTCAACCCTGGCTGCACCACCCTCACAGTTAATTGCACGCGAGAGACTCCGTCACCGTTCCGGCAGAAAGCAGACAACAGCACAGTCCAAGTCTGATAGCTTACAGATTCGGCATGGCTAAAGTTCAATGGCTCGAAACTCCCTGGTTTCACCCTCAGCCCTAAATCCTAGACCCTAAACCCGGGACACTGAATCCCTCCGTGCTGTCCGACCTAGACCTCGTCATTGGACTTTCTGGTCCTGTTAATTGAAACCCTAAGGGTCCATGTACCCGAACAGTATATACTTTGGGCCCAGTGTATCTATATGGGGAGTACTTGAATTTTAAGGCCAACGTATATACCCTTGGGGAAAGCTCAATGTGCTTTGACTTTGCTGAGTTGCGGATACATTGACAAACCCTAGGCAGAAACCCTAAATCCTTGCAACAGTACATGGCTGGCACTGCAAGCATGAGTTGAGGTGTTGCATGCTGCCCCTTAACCCGAAACCCTCAGCCCACTCTGGGTCCGGTCAAGCCCTAAAGCTTGAATTCGCGAGCCGTAAATCCAATTGAACACCTCATCCCAGAACCCGAACAGAAGCCCTTATCCCAATCCTTTGTGAACCTCCCATAAACCTCCATCGTGCCAAATTACGGCCCTTACTTAAGCTTGCACTCCTCCAGGTGTACGCCTTTGCAGGCATCCTTACGTTTGGTTTCCTCCAAGAGGTCACCTGGTTTCGCGATGAGTTCTGGAGGACCCTTGAAGCCTTGGCGGGGTTTCGGAGGTTACTGTTCGGGTTTTTAGGTATATAATGTGTAAACAAGAGGTCGCGCATATTTTTGTCAACAGCACCTACATGCGCATACTCAACCCCGCCAGCATCCAAATATAGCACTCCATCATCGCCACCGTCATCATCAGCATCACCGTTCATCGTCATCCTTGTCATCATCACCAAACCAGCATGATCATCAGCGTCGTCATCGCCGTGAGCATGGGCCCAGGGAAGTTTTGCAGGCGATCGCCCTGCCAATGTTGAGTTTGTGCAAGAAGTGGTTGTGACGGCGAGGTTGGCGATGTTAACTTTCGTCAGAGATGTTGACGTTGAGGCTGTTGATGTTTCAGTCGGTGTTAATGTCTTCGATAGTCATGAAGGCGATGACTGTTACGATCATATCAAGAGGCATTTCAGCGGTGGTGACCTCGACGACGACCACGGCCCGGCACGGGCATTGCAATAGCAGATAGCAGCACCGCCGAACAAGGAGGCTGGCCCCATCTGCCTAAAACCCTTCTTGGTGCTTGAAAACTCCGGCTGCCTTAAGAAGACATCGCTCGATGGCAGAGTAAGGAAGCACGGAACCTGAACAAAGACATAGCTTGGAGGAGCGACCTCCACTATAGGGCCCCCAAAACGTTTTTCTAATTATTAAGGCTCCTTCTGTATACGAACCCTTCTCCGAAAGCCTTTCCAGCAAGCATATCGCTGCTTCGAGGATCGTGATGGTCGCAGTTCTTGCCATCGTGGTGCCCGAATCTGATGCGTAGTTTTGGGTTTTGGGGGTTTGGGGGTCCAGGGTTTCGGGGAGGTCTTCGGTGAGTTTCGAGAACGCAGAAGAGTTGGGCGCTGAGACATCGACCGGTGTATGTGTTTCCCTGGCTGTACTAAACCCAACATTCAACATCGAAAGCCTACACCCGAAGCCTTAAACCTGAACCATTACTGGCTGCCCAAAGCTTCATTCCGTCAAGGCTTCGTCAGGGAGTGAAAACATAATTCTGGTGTTTAAGGTTTTAGGGCTCCGGTTTACGTTTTATGTTTTGAGGCTTCTGATGTAGGACCACCCTGTTGTGGCTGTGTGCTCAAGGTTTTGATCGGAGTTGACGGAAAGGGAGAGGGAGAAGCTAATGAGTTGTAAGGGGGGGTTTATTGTAAGGTTTCGGATTTATGGTATTTGGATAGTTTGGGCATGGTGCCTGGAGAGGGACGAAGTCGTACATATGCACACCACAAGCGACGGCTTGCAAGCAACAGCACAACGGATCTTCCCTAAACCTCAAGTTTGCCCTGAAATCTTCAACCCTAAACCATGAACCCAACCTCTTCGGCTGAGGTGATGACCATGGCCTACAGGGTTGCAATCCTTTTGGCCAAGTGCACCGACGAGGGAGAGTGGTGGAAGGATGCCAGGGGAAGGGCTTTGGGAGAAGGGCCCATGTCCCTGTAGTATAGTACACCATGTTATGGTATAGAGGAGCCCGATGGACTCAGGTCAAAGTATATATTATGTTCTATAGGTGCATGGACCCTTAGGATTCGACAGGGGCTCCAATACCCCCGACCCGACATTACTTGGAGGAGTGTTATGTTGATTCATGTTGGAATCTTTACTGTTTTTGAATTCATGCTTGTATAGGGCTTACTGATGCTGCACACATCTGGCCGCGCACCTCACCCAGATTCGGTGGCAAACAGCTGAGGAAACTTCTTGCCAACATGACTTAATTTCGGCGGAATTCAAGATAATTACGGTTCAGCGTCTCGGAGCTCCGTCTAGATGTAGTGCGCGAAGTCAATCGTTTCGAAAGACTGTCTAGACTCTGACCTTGATAGTTGCAGAAGCAGTAGTACTGTAGTACTGTTCCTAATAGTCTTCAGTATTACTTTTTTTGATAATTTGCATTGTCTTGATGATCAGGATTGTTACTGGTAGTGTTACTGTTATGGGCATTCTTGTTGCTAGTAGTCTTGGAAGTAGTAGTCGTAGTAGTCGTAGTAGTCGTAGTCGTAGGAACTAGCGTCGTCGACACGTCGGCATCGTCGTGGGAGGGTGGGGGAAGGTGACACGACTGGAGCCTTAGATCGTAGGGGACCCCGATAACTTGCCATATGTGAAGAGCCCTCGAAACCTTCGCAATTACGATACTGCAACACATCATGATGTAGAAGCTTGGGATCATTCGCGAAGTGAGTTTTGGCGGATGCGAGTTTTGGCGGATAGCTGCATGCAGAGTTTGGAGATGCGGATGCGGAAGTCCAGAGTGTAGGGTTTGGGGTATGCTGGGCCTGAACCTCAAATGACCGCCATCGCTCCCGCTCTGTGCAGTCGATCAGAGTCCAGCGGAAGAATGCGGAGGAGATGCAGATAGAAGCTGGTGTGCCTCGCCGACACGAAGATCAGATGATATTCCACAGCCTGAACCCTCAAAATGTAAAGCCTACTGCACCTCTCGGGTGGGTAGCTCCTGCCACCAACCCATCCACTTCTCTACCGACAGACTATATCTTTTACACTGCCACGAGCTGACTGTTCTAGTACATGGCGGCTTGTATGTCTGCTCACCGAAAGTTGTTCTGGGGGCTTGATTGCTTACCAGCAAGGAGGAACACTGACCACGTTGATGTTCCAGTTTGCTAGGTTTCTTGCCTGCCTACTTGGCTGCTGGTGAGCATGATGATCAGCTTCCCTCTTTGCTTTGTTGCACAATTTGATGCTTAAACCGATTGGTTGGGTTATCCCTTCCACAGGCGTATGATGCATGAAGAACTAGACTCAGGCATGAGTGTAGACAGCCTCAGCAGGGTCTTCAATGGACTAGAATAGCATCAGCTCAGCTTGAAACGGCCTTGCCCTGTCACTGCCTTGCGGGTTGCGATGTATCTGAAGCCTTCTCAGTCGAAATCCTGACGCTGCTGTTTGCTCATGACTCTTAATTATAGTTGTGGAGGCTCGCCTCCGCCTTGGTGCTTCCATGAAGGATGCATAAAGTTGGGTCAGGAGCACAGCGATAAAAGTGTATTGTACGAACTTGCAGCATAGACAGACTGTATTTTTGCGCAATCAGGTTGCGAACATATCTCCAGACACAAAGCCCAATCAACAAGGCAGCCGGGTAAGTTCTGGGTTGAGTTTCTACTGTGGGTGCCTGCAACCCTAAACCCCTAAAACGGTGCCTCCATCCATGTCCCCGCAAACTTCGCTAAGAGGCGATCACTGCGGGCTTCCTCATTGTCCAATGCATCTGTTGCCTCCCTGCACAAGGATCAAGGTCGTAAAACAGGGGCCTAGATACTGTACTACCAATACCATGTTGGGGTGTCTTTGTTGTACTAGGTGGCAATTTGGGAAACTATTTAATTTCCCTGATGGTTCCTAAAGAGGTACCTATTCAAAACTACTTCTCAGAGCCCCAAAACTACAACCCAGTGTAACTATGGCATTATAATACCCCGAAAGCCTTGTCTACTCATCAAGGCCCCCATCTTAAATTTAGACAACGTGCGGCTTCTGGACTCCAGGATCCGTGTAGTCAACATCTCACTGTTTAGGATCTGTTCCAGCGCCACCTACCTTTGGATTTCCCAACTGAAGCTTTCGAGTCAGACTTTGGCATTCAGCTTGTCCAAGTTCAAGGGGCTTTTTTGCGATAGACTGCCTTCATTCAGCAGGGTAAGAGACACTGCCAGCACTGCACCGGCAACACCACTGACAGCAACGGGTCCCCTAGCTGGACACAGCCAGCGACAACTGCAACCATAGTAATGAACATCGGCAACACATCGTTAGAAACGGACGAAGTCCAGACAATAGCAACGACGACCACGACCACTGACCCCGAGGACGACGACGACCCAACCAGATCAACAACAGCAGCAGCAGCAACAACAACAACAGCAACAACAGCAAAGCCTTTGGTCACAAAGCGGACCCCGTGGTGCTGAGTCAGTTGTCATCCTGATCATCATCATCATCATCCTTGCCTTGACCAGCAGCAGCAGCAGCAGCAGAAGCAGCACGCACGAAACCGCTAGTAGACTGCGCAAGGTAATTTATGCCCTCTCTGTTGTGTGCTTTGGCATTCAGAGGTACACTAAAGCATACCACGAACTTCATGCACGAAGCCGCTAGACTGCTATAAATGCTCACCAAAGCCCCTTGGACCCTTCAATCCTCAAGGCCTTTGAACATCATGTCTGCTCTAGATCTGAAATGGCCACTGCTCCAGGCTATTACCTGTCAGTTGAGGAAGAGTCCTGTCGCAACTTATGGATTGCCCATTTTGGCGCCACCTGGGCACAGTGTGTGATCAACAGCTCGGCGCCCGATAGGATGCGGAATGCACGATAGCGGAAACATGGGAACGTCGAACTGAGCATGTGCTTCTAAGATCGAGAGTTGAACGTTTGCCACTCTGGCAGTTTGGCATCGCCCTAGCGCTTCGAGACCCTACTGAGCTTGTTCCGGCGGTTCAGCAGGATTCTTCAAGCATCAGAACCTGCCGCAATCCTACATGGACATAGCTTGGGCACTGCCCCCACTCGGTAACAGTTGGATAATATTCATAATATAGACATATAAGGACCTTCATTGTAGCCCTATTATAGACTGTTAGTGTATGGGCGCCGTAGCCAATAGCACTACCGCCCGCCCTGAGCCCTAAGCCTCATCGACGTCTTCCCAAAGGACACTTACCACCGCTTCATGCCCATTCTGCACGGGGAACCTGGGCATCACGTCGATCACTGTCCGGCCCTCGGGGGATCAGCGGCCCTTGGGTAAAGAGCATCATGGGCTCAATCGGCAATACTGTTGATGATATAAGTCTTGCATTACCTTAATGATCCTAAACTATGGGAATTATGGTATATTCCTTATTATGGGTAATGCAGGATTTATACTATCAACCTTAGTAACTATTCCTAGGGGTTCCTTGATTTGGTCACCGTCTAGCATGTCCCCCCCCCCCCGCCACCTCCCCCCACCCTGTTCTAACTATGAAGGCTCCCTTGAAAAAACCGAGGGCTCGGATTCCAGAGGATCAGGGTATAGTAGCCGTAGGGCTTGGGCGGCAGGTTTTGGCGTGGGGAGCTTTGGGTTTCAGTCATGAGGGATCTTAGAGGATTCGGATTTTGGATTTAGGGCTTAGGGGTTAGGGGTTATAGGGTGTATAATAGGGTCTAGGGGTTCAGGGTTTGGGATTTAGGGCTTAGGGGTTAGGGGTTAGGGTTTATAATCGGGTCTAGGGGTTTAGGGTTTTGGATTTAGGGTCGTTTGGTGTCCGGTCTAGGTTGGGCGTGCTTAAAGGATCTTCAGGGGTGAGGATTTTAGGCAAAATATTTAGAGTTTGGCTGAGTTGCGTATCCCACATGCGTGTGGTCCTATGTAGAGCCCTGCCTGCACCTGGCCATTCGGTCTCGCAGCCACTTCAGTTTGAGCCCTTCATTCTGTTGCCAGCTACACTTTTTCTCTTATCGTAACTTCTGCAGCCTAAGCCTCTCCAAGCATGTCGCTTTAAGCCCTAAAATCTACCTTAAACCCCTAACCTTAGACCCCAAAACCCCTAACACCCAAAAACCTTTACACCCCTAGCCGGTAGCTCAGCTCCCTGCGAGGTGTCTCGATCCTAATCGGAATTGCAGTGGTGCTCCTTATCGCCTCAGCACCTCCTCAGATTGGTTTGGGGTTTAGGGTTTGGGGTTTTGGGTGTTTTATTTAGGGTTTAGAGCTTATGGGTTTATAGGGTTTAGGAGTGTAGGGTTTAGGGATTTAGGGATGTAGGGCTTGGGTTCAGTTTAAGGTTTAGGGTGACATTCATAAATGTTGCAGGGGGCCCTGAAACGACAGCTCAGATTAGAGTTTCGGCTTTATGATGTACCTTAACCCGGAATAACCTACATTTTTAAGACCTTATATAAGGAAATCATAATAAGGAACCCTAAAAAGGTAGGATATTCAGGGTTAAGGTAGGGTTTATTGAGGCTTAGGGTCTAGGATGTTGGGTTTAAAGGTTTACGGATGTGTAGGACCTTCGGATATTGGATTCAGCGTTCGGCGTCTAGGACTACGATTAGAGTTTAGGACCTAGGGTCCACGGTGTTCAAGAGTAAGTCACGGGTGACGTTGAAAAGGATTCCGGTATGCTCGGTTTAGGGTGTAGGAGTCTTCATAGCCTGTCTTGGAACGAGACTGGCAGTTTCCTCTACTCTAAATTCGAGGAGGCTAGACTAGACCAAGCAGAGAATGGCTAGTTCAAGGGGAAGTGCCTGACGGTGCAAGCCCTTCCCTTGTAATCACAGTGTGGAGGAGTCGACGTTCAACGTCTCATGGTCCAGTGGTTCAAGCCCTAATGGTCCAAGTACCTAGTGATCATATACTCTCCCAAACAGTAACCTACATAACTACTATCCTAAACCCGAGTACCTTATTATCTTTTGGATCCTTGAGGAAGGTTTAAGATTCAGGGTTTAGGCTTAAGGGTTGCCTTAAATCCTAAGAACTTTATGCACAAGGCCATTTAAAGAGTGCAGCTGGATCGGCTCCTTTCTCCAAAAGGGCCAAAACTTCAAAAGCCTTCATGCTGCCTCAAGCCCAATCCTCCAAACCCTGAACCGTAAGCCCAAACCCTACACCCCTAAGCTTCAAAACCCCGAACCCTAAGCCCAAAGCCTACACCCCTAAGCTTCGAAACCCTGAACCGTAAGCCCAAACCCTACACCCCTAAGCTTCGAAACCCTGAACCGTAAGCCCAAACCCTACACCCCTAAGCTTCGAAACCCTAAACCCTAAACCCAAACCTTAAACCCTCAACCCTAAAGCCTCGAAACCCTGAACCCCTAAGCCCTAAACCCCCAAACCCTAAACCGTAAACCCTACACTCCTAGGCCTCGAAACCCTGAACCTTAAGCGGTCGAGCCCTGCCAAATCCAAGGCGGTTTGGGCGGTTTGGGCCCGGCCCACTGGGTTGCTGATTTGCAGAAAGTCTTCTTAGGGTTTAGGGGTTTAGGGTTTTCGGTTTTAGGGTTTAGGGTTTTGGGCTCTTAGGGTTTTAGGGTTTAGGGGTTTAGGGTTTTCGGGTTTTAGGGTTTGGGTCTTTGGATTTTGGGGGTTGGGGTTTCGCATTTCGGATCTGCATTTTCGGATTTTGGAGTCTGGTCACGACGGGTTCAGTGTCAAGCCCTAGGGATCAAAATAGCATATAGTATGGTCTCTGGGCCCAAAAGCCTTAATGCATGAGTCCTTGGATCCCTAGGGAAGGACTGTTGAGGGTGCCACCCAGAGACTCCAATATCCCTTAATTAAGGAATATCCCTTAAATTATAGTAGGATTCCCTTTTATGATTTAAGGAATAGTCCTTAAATTATAGTAGGATTCCCTTTTATGATTTAAGGAATATTCCTTAGATTATAGCAGGATCCCTTTTATGATTTAAGGAATATTCCTTAATTAAGGGATATTGGAGTCTCTGGCCAATCACGGACTTCAAACCCCGACCTGAACCCGGGAGCTTCTCAGAGAGCCCAATACCCCTTAATTAAGAAATATGGGGATCCCTTAATTAAGGGATATATAGGGTTTAGGGTTTAGGGGACCCCAAGACCCCTTAATTAAGGAATATGGCTTCAATCATATAGGGCTTCATATTATGATTTAAGCCGTATTCCTTAATTCAGGGGTATTGGGCTCTCTGGAGCCTAAAGTTCCAGGGCGGAGCAGACATGCATTATTAATCTGCTTGGTAACCTTCAAAGATCACAATACCACAGGGATAGTTCTCCAAATCAGGGCCCTTTTTGGGGAAGGCAAATAGTACAGCACCCCTATTAAGAAGAGCCTAAAAGTTTTGAGAACTACCCATAGGTTAAGTCGCTGTATCAGATATACTTAGGCCTTGAAGGGGCTCCTATATAGCTACGTTAAGGCCTAAATTAAAATACCAAAGGCTATACATGTGTGCAGGGTCCCTATAAATTCTTTATTGGGGTGTAAAATAAGAACCTTGGGTGTAAAATAAGAACCTTCAAAAGTAGGTTACGGTAGTTTAAGGTAGGTATATACCATATACTTAGAGGTTGCATGGGCAGTTATAGGTGAAGTTATAGGCAGGGTAACTATACTTATATCTCTTATTAAGGGGCTTATAGCCCCACTTATAGCTACCCATGAACCTCCGAGTATAGCAGTTCTCATATAATCCCCAATAATAGTCTCCATAATCCATGCCCCCATTCCCTATTAAGAACCAGGGTGTGTTTTGTCATCCAAAAGAGTCTAGGGTTTAGGCTTCAGGATGTAGGGCTTAGGTTTAGGATTGGATTGGGGGGGCTTACTGTAAGTTTAGGGTTTAAGGGTGATAAACATTACTTCTTTGAACCTAGCGCTCAAAAACCTGAAGACTGTGCGCTTGAAACCCCTGGCCATTAGAAGGGAATCTAATTTTCCACGCTCCTACAGGGTACTTGAAGGTTCATGGGTAGTTATACTGCCAAATAGGAGTTGTAATTATAGTTACTTCACTTATAACTACCCTAAACCCTGAACCCGAAACCTTGTAGAACCCTTACATGAACCCTAAACCCTTATACAAGTAGCTCCACTTATAGCAACCCGTGAACCTCCAAGAGGTGTGCGAGGTGCTCCAGGGCAATTAGCTTTTAGGGTTTAGGGTTTTGGGGGGTAGAGCACTTTTAAGCCTGAATTCGTACCAACATAAACTCTCTAGGCCTCCTCATTACCAGTACACCAAAACAGGATCCGAAGCGCTCGTCTGATCAAGGGCCCTCCATAGTGGCCTTGGGACTAGCTCGCACGCCGCCCAAACTAGCAGGAATGAGAAGCCTTGCGTCGGCAGCTTCCTCTACGAGTACTTTGGGGCCGGCTCCGGGCTATCGGGTTTCAGGTTTGAACCCTAGACCCTAAACCCGAAACCCTGCGGGCTTTGAGACCTTTGCCTTGACTCAGTTGGGTTGTTCCCCAAAGTTTTCCTGAGGTGCCCGTCGTATTTCGGTTTGGTTGGGAGATGCGGATATTGTGAGATATTCACAGCTCTATGCGTGGGGAGGAGTTCGATGGTATCTGCATGCTAAAAAACTGACAGCGATGAATGCATACCGACTTCAAGGAAGAAAGAAGAACAGAGAGAAGGCAATAAGGCAAGAACGAATGAATCACTTGAGGTGCATGCCTGGCTGGCTGGCTGGATGGCTGGATGCATCTATGTATGCATGCATGTATGTATGTATGTATGTATGTGTATGTATGTGTATATATATATAGATATGTATACATGTATAGGCTTGCATGTAACAGTATGCACTGTTAGACATTTAGCTGTGTGCGTTGCCATGCCATGTTCTTTTTTACCATGCTGTGCAATGTAGAGTAGCACGATGTCCTGGACTGTACTCTTTTTGTGAAATAGGTAATGTAACCTGTGTGCGTATGTGTATGTGCATACTTCACGCAGTCTCAAAGAGTCATGTGTGTGTATATATATATATACATATATATATATATATTTTAATATCTAGATCTACATCTATATCTTTATCTGTATGTATTCCCATGTTTATACCTGTCGGTTGGTAGCTTCGGGCCACTCATCCGTGGTGGCTTCCATGGCAGTCGCCTTTCGAAGGGCTTCCAGAGACCCGGCACTACGCACCGAACCTGAACCCTCGTAAAGGGGCCTTAGTATTTAGAAAAGGGTGTTGGGGCCCATTTTACTATAAATGTAATAGGGACCCCCCAAAACAGCATAAGTAATTAATTAGGCCCCTGTGCCAACCCCAGCCCATAACCCGCAGGCGCTTGGGGCTGTGACGGCCTGCTGGTGCCTCCAAAGAGTGCCTCGGACTTGTGTATTTGTAGTACAGCAGTCTGACTAGATAGCTGTGAGACCTCATACAATCCCTTTATAAGTATACCCAAAAAAACCCTTTCGAAATTATTCAGGTATGCATGCACATGACTTGCTGAACGTGAAGCGGAGAGCCAATACTTAGACTGCTCAGTTTCCTCTTTTGATGATTTTGCGAGATCCGACTCTTGACTCCTACAACCTTTCGGCGCGAAACCCATCCATCCTTCAACCCGTCTAGACGCCTAAGCCCTAAACCCTATACCCTAAACCCTAAGCCTTTGCCATAGAGTAACTAACCCCTTGTACCCACAGGGTCCTAAGTACCTATATAGTAGACTGCAAGGTTTCTATAGTAAGAATTACTATTATGATTTGGGAAAGTATCCCCCAAAACAGTACCTAGGACCCTTTGGGGCAGTATCCCTCCATTACCAGCTCTCCGATCTCGGACACACGGCTGCCAAGGCTGGTCACATCTACTTGCCGCCGGGCTGAAGAGTTGCTTTCTCGTGACTGCATGCGACTGTGAGTTTGTGCTTGCGTGCATTATAATGATGTATGTCCGTGATTACACACACACACATATATATATATATATGTATACGTTCATGTAAATATGTTCGTTTATTCAAAGAAACATGTGTACATAGTTTGTATATATAAACACATATCATATAAACGTACGTGTAATTATTATGCTTGCCTTCACAACTATGCATGTATGTATATGTGTATATACACGTACATGACCGTTTCTACATAGACACATATCATGCATACGTGTGTTTGTAACAGTGTTCTTATGTATGTGGCCATGCACATATGTGTGGATGGAAGGTTGCATCATCATATGGACGGATATGTGTGTGTGTGTCGTTCGAGCGCACCCGCGCGCGTGTCCGTGTTTGTGTTATCGGGTGCCTGTCTCGGCGTGTGTCTCTGTTTGTGTGTCTGAGCCATGTCTGTGCCAATCTGAGGCATGGAATCTTCATCAAAGGCATCGTGGCCAGCATTAAGCTTCCAGCGTACTGCCCCCTCTTGTAGACTCCAGTTGGGTGCTTGTCAGTATTAGGGTGGCTTTTTCGGGTCCTTATTATAATACACACCTAATATATTAGGGAACGGTGCCATAATTTTGAGAACCACCCATATCCGCAAAGCCGGGGCATCCTAGATCCAGAAAAGGCCCAACCCCTCTTTGCTCGGGGCCCCGAAGCCCTGAAAAGCCCTACAGCCGGGAAGTGTTGCAGCCCTTACAGTAGAAGCCAGGAAGTTGGAATATCATTATCATAATCCCTTTAAGGTAAATTATAGGGGATCCTACCATTCATCCATATTCCAACTTTCTGGAGTTCCCTGTACAGTATTGCTTAGAAGGGGCCCCCACCCTGTAATAGTGACCATAAGGATTATATTAGGGCCCTATTATATTCCTATCGTACCACTATTACAGGGTTGGGGGGCCCCTTCTAAAGTATTGCCTTCTTCTGCAACCCGAAAGCCTCCCCGGAGGTTTAGGGGGGAAGCCTAAAGCTTGTCCGCTCTTCTTGTAATGGGTCAACTGTCTGCTTCGTGTATTGCAAAAACAATGCTCACAAAGCTGACAAACGGTGCTTCTTCCTGGGCGTCTCGCGAGACTGTTATGAATAGTACTACGACCAGTGGTAGATAGAAGTTCGGGGACGGGCCGGCCAGAGATCTTTTGAACTGCGGGTTCAGGGTTTAGGGTTTAGCAGCGAGTTTGGTACGAATTGTTGACAAGAAGCACAGCTCTATATAGGCAGAATATTCAATACCTGTTCATGAGGAGTAGCGACTGTCACGGCAAGCAGTCACTATAGCAATATTTGGTCAAGACCCTCTTCTCAAACCCCTGGCTTTGGCTTGTTCCGCATCCTAACGCTGCTAAGGGTTGAGTCTTTGGTGTACAGAGGTTCAGGGTGAAGAGGTGTTTACGAGAAAGGTTGAGGGATCCTTCAACACGAAGCACCCGCGCACAACCACGCTGCAGATAATTCCCCGGAAATGGCTTCGAGCAGAAGTATCATCGTCAATGCCTCCAGACAAGCAAGCACCCAGAGATCCCAATATCCCTTAATTAAGGAATATACCTTAATATTATGATTTGAGGTATATTCCTTAATTAAGGGGTATTGGGTTCTCTGGGCATTGAGTGTCGACTCATTGGCTCGACATCATACGTTTTCCTGTGTTTTGGATTCGATGTTTCAGTTTCCAGTTGAGGCTAGGACCCCCCCCCCCCTCCGCTACTGAGTTGAGAATGAAGGGATCGAATGGGTAAGCTCACAGCCACACTACGGTTTGATGGATCCCGCCTGTCTTTCAGGGTTGCAAATTCAGAAGGCTTTCATGATGCTTTTCTAATTTGGAACCTGTGGTGTGGCTTCGAAGCCCAGAGACGATTTTCTCCGGTAGTATTCGAGCCGGATCGTTAAGCCCAAACAGTTCACTTTGCAAAAACCTCAACAGCATATGAAGGTTTTCCGAGGTCTGAGTTAGTTTTCAAAAGTCTTCCTGTGTAACCAAACACCATCACTTGAGTACACTAACTATTCTCCCCGGCCCCAATCCTACTTCTATCTGGGTGGTTGGCAAAATTAGGATCCCTTTTTGGATCCTTATTATAATGCGGCACATATTATTTCAGGTACCCAAAAAGGAACCATAAATTTTGACAACCACCCATCTGGATCTGTATTGCATCAAAGTTTCCTCCAAGCCCTGGGACCCTGGAGCCCTCAAGCCTTAAACCCGAACCCGAGCCCTGGACAACCCTTAATATAGGGGCCTTAATTCCTTCATCATTACCTATAAGTCAACCCTCAACCCTCAAACCAAAACCCAAACCCTAAGCTTTCCTAAACCCTAAACCGGTGAGTTTTGAAAGCCATGACCCAAGAGCCCAATTCCTGAAAGCTCCCTGCTCCGAACTAAGCCCCCAACAGCCCTAAGCGTTCAATCCTGCGTCCAGTTCGCGCAAACTCCCAAACCCTACCTTAACCTACCAAAGCCTACTTTTTGTAGTTCCTTATTATAAACCCTAATATGGATTTTATAGGGGCCCTACAAAAAAGTAGGTTTTGGTGGGTAGTGTAGTTCATGACAAACCCAAGCCAAGGCTTTTGTTATGTCCCTCTTAGCCGTGATCTGCGTCATCGGGCCACTAAGCTGCACGGAAAGAGGTGTCGTCTTTCTTGCAGATGGCTTCTGTCTGGACTTAGCTGATTGCCTTAACATACAAGTTGAAAGTTTCAGCCCCCAAACCTAAACCCCAAACCCTAGATCTTACACAAGAACTAAACCCCTCGACTTGAGCATGAAAATCCTTGCTCGTCGCCACAGTTGGTCCGGAGGAGATTGATGCCATTGCCTCGTCTAATCCAGACGGGATCCTTCGTTGCAAAGGTGCAGGTTTTGAGGGCTCCGGTGCCAAACCGCAAACCCCAAGGCCAAGGAAATGCGAAACTGAGCCTGTTCGCGGGCGCATACCTCGGTCGAAGACCAAATACCTGCAAACCCTTAACCACTAGACCCCTAAACCTTATACTCCTGGATCCCCAAAACCCCTAAACCCTTATGCACACCCCTGCACCCCTAAACCCTAAATCTGTAAATCCCGAAAGCCCGAAACCCTAAACACTAAACCCTAACCCTAAACCCTAAACCCGTAAACCCCGAAAGCCCTACACACTCAACTTCTCCGTCTCGGTCTTCGGCGCATCAGGTTCGACAAGCTGGCAGACTCCGTCCAGAAGAGAGGAGGGACCTGCGAGGTTTGTGACGACATCGGCCTGGACGGCGAGGACCTCTGGGTAAAAGGGCCACTACAACTAGGTAGGCCTTTGTTTGGGACATTTTATGTTTTCCCTTACTGGGCTTATAGGACCCTGTTTACGAATGTTTTTCAGAGGCTTTAAAGGGCCAACCTAGACAAGGGTTGCTATCAGGGTTCTAGAAGGGATGGTATATGAGCTGCTATTCTGATGCTCCTCGGTCATGGTGTAAGGGTACACGGTTTGGAACCGCACTGAATCTAGATCCCAGATCATAAACCTTGGGTACGGCCCCCACTCAGTAACAGTTGGATAATATTCATAATATAGATATATAAGGCCCTTAATAGGAACTCTATTATAGACTGTTACTGTATGGGGGCCGTACCCAACATAAACCCTAAAACCCGGAAGCAGTGGAAACCTGAACTTTATACTCCAAGGCCCGAATGGTTTAGGCTTTGGGCAGGCTTGGGCTTGCAGGTGTAGTGTTTTAATTCTGGTTTTGGGGATTCAGTGCTTGTGGGCGCGGGGGGGGGGGGGGGGGGGTAGGGTTTAGGAGTTACTACTATTTGCTTAAGAACCCCCAAAAAATAAAAAATATATTCCTTATGGGGGTAATATAGGGATTATTATTTTTATTTTTGGGGGGGTTCTTAAGCAAATAGTAGGTTAGGTTGTAGCAGATACGACCTCAGGTTTTGCAAACCTTTTGGACTAGCGAAGCCATCTAGGTTGTGATGAACAGGACGTGGCACGTTCCCTGAGTGTGGTCACGGCGGCGGGGTGCCAAGACCACTAAGTCCATCCGAGAGGGTGCAGCATGGTTTAGGGTTTGGTTTAGGGTTTCGGATTTCGGGTTCAATTTAGGATGTACGGTTTTTTGGGTTCAGGAACTTACGGTTTGGACTCGTTTAGTTTTCAGGATTCAGGCCAAGCATCTGTAATCACCTAACTTCTGCCCCCCCCCCCCCCGCCTTAACATGAAGTGTCGAAAGCTGCGTTAAGGCAACAATAGGATCAACCCTAAATCTTGCTCTATCCGTCTTAGACCCTGAATCATCGAGTAGCAGAACTTCCTTCTAGTCCCTACGTATAATGTACGTATGTGTGTGGATATATACACCTACATAAATACATGCATACATACATACATACATGTATGTAAGTGTGTGTATGTATGTATGTATATATATATATATGGGTACCCCCCCCTATATGGGGTCCCCTGGGTTTTTGGACACCTAAACCATTAAACCATTAAACCAATCCTTTCCCCCCAATGGACCCAAACCAATAAACCATTAAACCAATCCTTTCCCCGAATGGACCCAAACCAACAAGCCATTAAACCATTAAACCAATCCTTTCCCCCAATGGACCCAAACCAATAAACCATTAAACCAATCCTCTCCCCCAGTGGACCCAAACCAATAAACCATTAAACCAATCCTTTTGCCCCATACCACTAAACCGTTAAACCATTAAGCCAGTCATTTGCCCCTATAGAGAGAGACACAACCCTGTATGGGCCGAAAGCATTGGCTTAATGGTTTAATGGTTTAGTGGTTTAGGTGCATTGGGGGAAAGGATTGGTTTAATGGTTTAATGGTTTAGTGGTTTAGTGGTATGGGGTAAGGGGATTGGTTTACTGGTTTAATGGTTTAGTGGTATGGGGCAAAAGGATTGGTTTAATGGTTTAATGGTTTATTGGTTTGGGTCCATTGGGGCAAAGGATTTGTTTAACGGTGTACTAATTTAACGGTTCGTTAATGGTTGAATGGTTTAGTGATGGGTCTAGAGCTGCCTGCTACGCAGGTGTCCTGGTTATAACCGGGGACAGAGGTTATAACCAGTGCTGTGCCACCGCTACAGTACTTCATCCACACCTAAATCCAAACGTTCGAAAGTTTCGGTGTTTCAGGGTGAATGTAACCGCAATGAAATTAAACAAGGACTAGAAGAAGAGAGGGTCCGAGGTAATTGGCGTGTATTCGGTTGTTGAGGCATGATGCAGTGCTTTGTAACAAACATAATTCCGGGGACCATATGCGCATTCCCCAGCTTTAGCGGAAAGGATATATGGCGGACTTTACACAATGGTCTGTCCGTTCCAGTACATCGGGTTTATGAGATCTACGTACACATTGAGAGAATAGCCGCTAACATGTCACTCACGCAGGAATCAAAATGCGGAGTATGAAAGGTGCTCTATCGGGATTACAGTAGGTCAGTAAGTGTTGTCAACATTGGAATATCACGGTACACAGAAACTTGAGATACGGCTGATACGACGTCATTGTAGGGAGAGAGAGTATTTCAATTTTTACAGCGTGGTCAGGTTTCATCACTTCGTACATAGGCGAACTGGTTGCAACGTTATGTTCAAACATCGTTCCAAGGAAGCCGGATTTCGACGAGACAAAGCTGATAAGAATATGTGTGGTGAGCGAAACAAAATTTGCGACTTAAACTGTTAGGTTTCCTCGCTCGGTACGTAGAAAATTCCTCGCAATGTTATTTCCAACTACATGGATGAACCTCTTTCGAGGAGTGATTCGGTGTGTGTGTGTGTGTACCATTTTTTCTAACCCGAGGATCACGTTCTGGACTGGGAACAATGGCTTCTATTCGACTTTCAGTAAATATTCACAAGAACACAAACAGAAATTCGGACAAGCTAGATGTAACCTTATGGTTTTCAGTCGGCTTTACGTGATGGTTAGGGTATGCTGATACAAGAAGCACAGGCTTCATCACTCAGCATATAGAAACAGTGCCAAGCCTAAGAAGCGACGCTTCATGTCGTCCCCCAGGAAGAACACTATACAACGTTTGCTAGGCTTGTAGTATGCAAGTTTTCAATTTTGGCTTGGGGCAGCCGTCATACAGAATTAAGGAATGCACCACTCAAATATACCTACCGGATATACCAGTGTTTAAAAGCAATCACATGGGGGCACAGGGATATGTCATTGAAAGCTATCAGTTTGCCAAAACGTCATAGCAATGCGTCCAACAACAGAGACTTTGGTGGGATTGCGGCATTACAGTACAAAGATGGAAAACTTTTCGTTGCAAAATCTAGTTCGCGATAAAGAATGACTGAACCAGACTAATGACTACAGCGCGCTTGTTGGAAAAAACTGAAATACAGCGGTTAGATAAGGTCACAAAAACATGAACTACGAAGATATATCGACGGCTTCAAAGCAAGGATTTTAGCACATTGTAACAGGGTTGCTACGAAGGTGTCATAGAATTCTTAGCGTTGTGCGGGTTTCAGCATTCTGAAAACATGGTCTTCAAACCGGATATAATACTGTAGTCGATGACGTACACCTGATTATAACCTAGTCGGCTGGTTGTAACCTAGTCTGGTGGTTATAACCGAGTCAGATGGTATAGCGAAAAACGTAGGGGACCCCAAATAGGGGTGCGCCTATATATATGTATATATATATATATACATATACATATACATACACATACATCTACATATATATATATATATATATGCGCACATGTGTATGTATGTTTTTAATATTGCAGTGTACCATATTGAAATATTGGCTTAGATTAGAATATAATGCGAAACAATTGACATTCATACAGATACATGCTACAGCATGCAATATTATAACGGCCCTGATTTTGCAGCAAAGAAGCGAGCCCTTGGAAACTCTAAACCCTAAACCCTCTAAACCCCTAAACCCTAATCCCTAATCCCCAAACCCTAAACCCCTAAACCCTGAACCCTTGAAACTCCAAACCCTAATCCCTAAACCCCTAAACCCTGATCCCCTGAAACTCCAAAGGATGCTGACTTAGCCAATGTGGGTGCCGGCCTGAGGACCGGCACCCAGGGGAGAGAGGGCTTAGGCTGTGGGGTTTGGGGGTTTTGGGTTTTGGGGGTTTTAGGGTTCCTTTAAAGGGTTCTATAAGGGCTCCTTTACAGGGTACTATAAGGTTCTATAAGGGTTCCTTCAAGGGATCTAGAGGGTTTAGGGATTTGGGTTTAAGATTTGGGGGTTTCGGGGTTTAGGGGGGGGTTTTGGGCTTTGGGGGTTTTAGAGTTCCTTTACAGGGTACTAGAAGGGTTCCTTCAAGGGATCGAATCTATAGGGTTTAGGGATTTGGGGTTAGGGTTTGGGGGTTTTGGGGGTTTGGAGTTCAGGCTTAGGGCTAGACCCTAGTTTGGGGGTTTGGGGTTTTGAAGGGTTGAGAGTAATGAAAACCAGGGACTTTGAAACTTTCAATAGGCTGCCTCAGGGTACCTCACTATGGCTACGGCATAATACACCCCAAGCCCCATTCTGCTTGTTAAGGTCCCTGTATCAAGATTTTAGGTTTGGCATCTGGGAGGTTGGCAGCTTGTCGCGGTTT